TGTTTTTGCACTTATATCCAAAACGTTTTGTTTTTCTCATGAAAATCAAATTTAATGGGCCAAAACCGATTTAATTGGTTTAAAACCCGATTTAAATTTAATGAAAACCAAAAGATATCACGACTTACCTCAACAACATGAAAAACCGGACGGAGATATGAAGCATAGACCTGGTCTATTAGACCGGTCATTGAAGTCTTCGAGTGTGGTAACTTGACGAGACGAAAATTGATCAAGAAGACCGGACGAACCGAAGTGGAGCTTTGGGAATTTTGAAAAAAAAAACTTTTGTCAATATAAATCAATGTCAAAATTGGAATTAACTGAAACTAAATCTTAATAGAACATTCTTTTAGAGACAAGATAAAAATGTATTGAGACATTTTCTATTTCAATGTGTATACTTTAGCAAAACCTGAATGGTTATTTGGTTTCACCGTTTCAGCTCCGATATAAAACTGATAAAACCTGTAAAACATAGGTTTGAATGGTTGGTCAATACGATATAGATTCGACCAATGGGTACCACATTTTAGTACGACATATTTCATAATAGAAGCATACAAAAAATAGATCACAAAAGAACCACATTTTAGTCCGCTTTGATATGTTTTGATTGTCGGAGTATACAATACAAAAAGAGCAATTTTTGGAGGGTACAACTAAACCGACCATTCATTTCACAGTCTGAATCAAAACCAAAAAACAACTGTAGAAAGAAAGCGAAACCTCTACCTCACTTGGAGAGTCTGAACGCTATTGAGGGAGAGAGGTTTCATCGTTTTGTGTTCTCGGCCATATCAATGGCGAGCATCATCAGAAGACCGTTACATTTGACGGCGGCCGTACGGTTTCGACTTGCTCCGTTATTTCCGTTCTCCGGAACTTCTGGTTCTGTTAACTCGGATTCGACTCGTTGCTCTGAGTTAACTCGGGTTCCGAGTTTAGTCGAAGGATGCGATTACAAGCACTGGCTAGTTCTCATGAAACCTCCCAATGGATACCCACCTCGAAACGACATCGTCCAAAGCTTCGTCAAAACCTTAGCCAAGGCTCTAGGGAGGTAACTAATTTCATTAATCCGACTTGATCATTCTCGAAATTCAGATATATTGCAATCGAAAAGTCCAAATTTTAAACTAAAAATCGAAGCTTTATGGTATATGAACTGCGTTTGCTTGTTGTGTGCAGTGAAGAAGAAGCTAAGAAATCGATATATTCTGTTTCTACAAAGTACTACTATGCATTTGGTTGCAGGGTTCATGAACCTTTGACTTACAAGATAAGAAGTAATGAAATATATCCTTTGGAATTTCATCGTCTTTCTTTGGATTTTTATTATTCATAGTTTTGTGGCAAATTTTTTGATTGTGGCTTGTGATTGATTGCAGCGTTACCAGATGTTAAATGGGTTTTACCAGATTCGTTTATAGTGGATGGTGACAGTGGATATGGAGGTTTGATTGGTTGCTTAAGTTTTGTTTTCTTTTCCTTAGTAAAAGCATATATGCATTACCATTTCCATAACATTGCTAGCTTAGTAAGCTCTAACTGTTTGTCCAACAAAGCCCTGTCTTTTGGCTCTGTTCCTAGATTCTTCCGGTGGCTGGATTTTCTTACTAAATAGGTCGAATGTTGCATCCATAAATCTTAAGATTTTAAGATTGTGTGCTCTTTCTCATTTTCTTGGGGTTTCTTTGGTGGAAAAGAGGAGTTGTAGCCTTTTAAGTTTAGTACCTGCAGCACTATTTGTTTCTTCTTAAATATGTATAATTTTTGTTGCAGGAGAGCCGTTTGTCGATGGAAAGGTTGTCCCATATGATGAGAAGTACCATGCGGACTGGCTTAGAGATCAAACCGATGCAGATGCTAAAGTCCGAGTAGTCAAAAAGAAGCTTAGGAGAAAAAGAAAGAAGAAGTTGATCTAATTGGAGATAATTTGTAGATTTGGTAGTTGGTTCTTGCTACAGTGTGGAGCTACTCAAGCCTGACGATTTTCTGGAATGTGTCTTCTTCTAGTGTTACTAACATGAGCTATTGTAACGGATATTGAGTAGATTCAACATTATTGTGTAGCTACTGAACTTAGAAGCTACCAGGAACATGTCTCCAAGTGAAGTTTCCAGAGAGTTTCTTACATGTATGGAAGCTTTCTGTTTCAGTGGATGATATAACTTGAAATCAACTGATGATGTAAGCCAGTGCCAGAAGTAGAGTGTCGTTTCTTTATGTTCTTTTGCAGAATTGTAACTTGAACAATACATCATGGTTCTGTCTGTATTGCTTATGTGTTTATTAGTGACATAAGCTGTTAGGTATTGAAGTCTCCTTAGAAATAGACTGTTCCAACAAATGGCTGCTTCTTCTTGTTCTTGCTTGTCAATCAGGACCACATAAGTGGAGAAGAAAGCAACCACAAAAGAGTTTTTTCCTACACGTCTTTGAGTGGGGTTTGGTGGGATTGAGAAGTCTTTCTTCATGACCAAGGTATGTGTATCTAATCTGGCTTGGCTTCATATCAAACTGTTTTGTCTGAAATTGGGACATGCTTGCGTATGTATACAGATTCTAAAACATTGACTAGGAACAAAAGCTCACCACTTAAATTATTTGTTGGTGAACTACAGTCAATTTAAGATTTTATGTTGAAATCTTTTGTAGTGACAAAATCCAAGTAATACTGTCCCTTTTGAACACGCTTACAATTCAGACTTATACATCTGTGGTTACAAAATTGAAAATTTGAATGCTAAAATATCTATGTAGCTCACTTTTTAAGCTACCTTTCTATCACAACAGCTGCATAATTTCATGAAATCCTATGGTATTTTCACTTATCTAACACAACCTTTTTGTATAATTAACTGTATACTATCCCCTTTCCTAATATCTATACCTGTATAAAAATTAAATAATTTTTTTTTTGGTGCAATTATTTACTTTGCAGGAGTGTATAAACTGGTTCCTAGACTCTTGTACAGAGTAGTGTCTGAATATACAGAACGAGACTTCTTTGCTTTGTTTTTACGTCTGTTCTTTCGACCTCCTCGATGTTGTGGCAAGACTTTTGCCTCCTTCACTGTTTCCTCCTTTACGACTTTGACATCATCCTTACATTTGATGTCTTGAACTTCAGTTGCACCTGCCACTGGAACAATGTACACAAATGGTCCGTTTTGGATGTCTTTGAGGTCTAGAATTGGCTCTAGGGTCTTGACCACAGTGGTCATAGTTGGTCTTGACTTAGGGTTGTGGCTCAGGCACTGGTAAGCTAAAGCAGCTGCCTTTCTGATGCCTTCAACCGAGTATCTCCCTTCGAGACTCGGGTCTATGATCCGTTCAAGCTTGTTGGGATCCTTTAACATTGGTCTTGCCCATTCCACTAGGTTCCTCCCTCTCTGTGACCGGTACTTCTCCACTGCTTTTCTAGCTGTTAGCATCTCCAAAAGCACCACCCCGAAACTGAACACGTCGCTCATTGTTGTCAATTGACCTGAAATTTCACCAAGAAACATGTAAGCTAAGAATGTAATGGTTGTGCCGTATGACAATCTGCCTTATTGTTATGTTCTTTAACCTGCTGAGATGTATTCTGGAGCTGCATAGCCTTCTGTGCCCATTACACTTTTGGTAAAGTTCGAGTCTTCTCCCTCTGATCCATCAGTGGCTAAACCGAAATCTGAAAGCTTCGAGCTGAAGTCCTGAAAGTTTCAGATACGAGATTGAGTTATTTGACATGATAATTGAAATGCAAAATAGGAAGAGAAGCGCTTCGAATTACCGAGCTCAAGAGGATGTTGGAAGGCTTAAAATCTCTGTATATGACAGGTTTCTCTTCTTTGTGAAGGAACGCAAGGCCTTTTGCAGCACCAATCAGAATCTTCACTCTTGTTAACCAAGGCAAGGCTCCACCAAATTCTGTATTGCACCAAACAGTTACTCATATTGTTAGTAATCTGCATCTCTGTATAACAATCATTTTTCCGACTTTTTGATGATTTTGGTCTTTTAACCGACTCACTTTGAAATAGATGTTCGTCCAGATTTCCCCGTTCCATGTATTCGTAGACTAGAAGCCTGTGATCATCCTCGCAGCAGTATCCGATCAAATTTACAAGATGGGGATGCTTCAACTGACCAAGGATTACAACTTCAGCCTGCAAAATGTCGAAGAAACGTTATATTTTAAGTTTTTTATGATCCCATTTGACATATAATATCTGAATTGTATATTATCAATATGCAGGTGGAGAAAGATAATTACCAGCCACTCTCTATGGCCTTGTCCACCTTCTTGTTTCAAGGCCTTAACAGCAACAGGCTGAGCTTTCAAACCAATCTTGAAGCTATCATCTACAAAACCTTTGTAGACTTCTCCGAATCCTCCTTCACCGAGGTAATTATACTTTGAGAAGCCTTGTGTGATTGTTTTGAGCTCTTCGTAGGTGAAGATGTGAATGTCTATGAGAAAAGAATTTGAGAAGTCATTGAGTGAGATTGTTGAATTGCTGAAATCCGACAAGTAGACTTTGCTTCGAACAGAGGTTTGTCTAGAGAGCATAAGAAGTCTTTCCTTTGATAGGTTTGTTGTTGTCTTCTGGTTTGTGTTGTTGATGCAACTTATAGGAAGACATATGTTCTTCCAAGAGAATCTCATTGGTTTCATCTGAAAGAATCTGTTTCTTGTGTTTCTTTCAGAAGATTTTGTGTCTCTATTTGATTAATGAAATGGTTTTCTTTTCTTTTTTTTGTGAATATATAGAGATTATGAAACTTCTTTGAAACGGGTAAGTG